TTAATTATCAGCTCTTGCTCCACGAAAATTTACACTCATCGCTCTTATGATTTCAATCTTACTGTAGAAGTGTTGGTAAAAAAAAGCTTTTTTTTTATCACACTCCCATTTCTGTACAAGTAAATATCTACTGCATTAGACTTCGATTTTAAAACCATCTTTTTTCTGAAAGGGAAACAGAAGATAGAAAACAGCTTTTTCGAAATTCGTAATCATTTCTTCTAACGATTGTACTGGTATCCTTGTGAGCCTCCTTGTTGGTATTGTGTTTGCATTTGTTGGCTCTGCTGATATTGACCAGTGTTTCCATATGCCGCACCGCTTGATTGATACTGACTTGACTGTTGATCGAACTGTGAAGCCGAGCCATAGATAGCATCTCGCTGCTGTTGAATTTGGGCACATGTTTGCTGACTGCAGAGACAGGGTGGCTGTAATATAGAGCATTATATGAAGATTTCTAGAAAAATTAGTTAAATTTTTACCTCGGGCATCGGCGGCATGTTTGGCATACTCGGGAATCTTTGTCCCATATTAAAGGGAAGATTCTTAAACATGTTGCTCACCCAATCACCCACCTGCAAGAGAAGATTAGTATCAACTTTTATGATAAATAAACTTTTAATTTTGCTATTGTTAATTGATGAAATCAGTAAAAAAACATAAGGAAGCAGACACGGCTGTAATCGATTTGAAACATGAACTGGCAGTTGTTAGTTTCTTAGCTCCAAATTGATGAAAAAAAAATTACCAGTCAGTTCAAAATAGAATCTTCGTGGGGAACATATGAACCAATTACATTGCTTCATCTGGCATATAAAGCAATGTTATAAATATGTTGATATTTTTTTATAAGCATGAAGAGTTAAATGATATTGTGGCATGAACTAAAATTGTGAATCATTTCAAAATTTGGGAAACTTCTTTTTTATGGTTAAACACTGGTGTCTGTTCGCTTGAGCATTGTGCTGCAGTTTATGAAAACGTGATAATTATGCAGAACGGCTTAGCTAGTTCTGTTCTTTATTCAACAATAACGTCTTTGGCAAGCTGGAACAGTGTTGTTTATAAGACTCTCAGTTATATTACATGATCATTTTCGATGGGCTCATAACCATTTGTCAAAGCATCAAACCGTAAATTCAGATTCAAGTTTATGAACTTCTTACTAACACTGTGAGTAAGACTTAGACACAAAGATGGTGACATTATATTCATACTTCAATTATCTTTTTCAGGTAATTGCAGAAAAAAACAACTTCTCAAACTCACATATCCATTGACTTGTTTCATGTACTCGTTTAGAGACTCTCTATATTGAGCAATACGGTCAACTTCTTGCGAAGTGGCTTGTCGTCTTACTCCATTTTCAATAATGTAGCCGTCCTGCATATATGAATCACACACTGATGTAGAGAATTTGATGACTGAAGCTTACTTCGTATTGACAGTCGCCATTGTTGAACGAATACTGCTGAATTGAGACGTGAGAGCTACTGCCGCCAGTGGAGTAAAGCCCGTTCTGCAAATTTTGTTTCAAGTAGTTCTGGCCTTAGTTTCACTGTGATTTTAGTTGCTTTTTGGGTCGTCCAGAACATCGCTCTCCAGCACACTGTACAACTGAGTTCACTCCATTCTATTACCAATGCTATATTTACTCCTTTCTCCCTCTTCTCTCCTCCATAGAGCTGATGAACGCTTTTGAAATTACAGAGCATTGTTGTTCGGTGCGCGTTAACGATTTCAAAAGAAGAAGCCGCTTTTATGCGGTTCTTCTT